GGCCAGGTTTTGCAGTGGTGCGCTGAACAATTAATGTCATTGCAGCTATGCGCTTGTTTAAATTTGTATCGGGTTGTGCTATATGTGTAAATATATATACTACAGAAAATATATACATGTGTGTGTAAGAGTACTATCTTTCTCACTAGCAATTGCTGAGAACCAAGCCTAGCTGCCAGCCTGAAAAGAGCACAATGTAGGTATACCTGGCAAGCCCAAGAAACATGTCTGCAAAAGCATCATCGAAACATGTACTGCACGCACATCATGACAACTTGCAAAACACTCCCATATATGCATGACTCTTCTTTTCATACTTGGGATGCGAAAACGCATGCCTCACAGAATGTGTGTGAAACTCTCACGGATGTCAACATCAGCAGTGATCCTCCTTCCCCCTGAACTGCTCGAACAAGGTCTGAGCTTTTCGGCAAGCCAACGCAAGCTGCAAGGCCTGGATCCACTCCAGCAGCTTGCCCCTGATAAACAACTGGCCCAGGGTGTACATGTTCATGTTGCGCAGCTGGGAGATTGTGATGCTGACCCTTATCCAATTCACTTCACAGCATCTTCCCAATCAAGGGTCACAAAATTGTACTTGTGCAGATGGACGATCTCTCCTTCATCTCTCAAATCGGCCCAGATGGCATACTCATGCTTGTAAACATACACCAAGCGCTGGCCCTGTGGAGGTATGAAGTCATAAGATTGGCCATCAGGAATTGGGGAATACATGCTATATCTGTGTACCTTGAAGATCACAGCTGGATGTTCAAACTAAATGGCTTAAAGTAACTCTTCAGAGGAGTTTGGCGCCCATAGCTCCTAAGAGGAGTTGTTGTATTAATATTTTATATGTATACTGTGTACACAGATGACTCCTCAGAGGAGTTATGTTGCAACACTTCCATGGTCGCAGCCCCTTGCAACAAAGACAGAATCACGCAGGGCACACTTTCGCATCGCCAAATCTGGATCAATCTTCACCTGCAACAGGGCAAGGCTTAGGTCACTTAGCACAAACAGATCTTCACAAAGAGCCTGGCCTGCCACCTGCTTGGAGGATCTCTGACTTCTGGCAAGGAAGGCCGCCAAAACTGAGCAGTTGCTTTCCAGAGCCCACGCCAGGGCCAAATTTTTTGATGGCTCCAGCAATGCCATTCTTGTAACACAAGACTTGATACCGGTTGCTCATCATTCCCAGCCTCCATCTCAGCAGGCTTTGCAGCTGCTGCTTTGGCTTTACAGTTGCTGCTTTGGCTTTGGCTTCAGTTTTGGCTTGTGGCTTGGGCTTTGGGTGTGCATTTGCCAGAGGGCTTCTTTAGCACATGGGAACCAGTTCTGGATGTTTGTGCTTCAAGGACAAGGTTGGGGACCTCTGTCTGGAACGGTTTCTCACCTGCAAAGGTGGCAATCAGGAGGCCTTTCTCGAAAGGCTCCATCTTAGCAGTCTGAACGCTGCCTGCACATGCCCTCACCATGCAGACCCTAGCACTGTCAAAGTACTCCTTGGGCTTAGCTCCACTGGAGCTGACAGGCGCAGAGGCCTTCTTAAGCTTGGCAACAGGTGCAATGACCTCACAATCCGAATCCACCTGAATCAGAATCAGCAAGGGCTGGAGGCAAGCTATACATGCTTCTCAAATCTGCAAGTTTGCCAGAATGCTAGAGCTGCTCTCATTGACCTCTTTAGGTGTTGTGCAAGGCAGTGGCCTAATCTCTTCTTCTTGGGTGTGTCTGCTGCACTGGTCCTGCTGTCTGTTGCTTTCAACCTATAACTGCCAGAACCCTTCTGACAGCAGGATCCAATCTAAGAACAAGCATCTGAAACTGCTCTTGCCCAAATTCCTGCTTCCTCCTTCTTGACACTCTGGAAAGCTTTCAAGCATGCTTGCTGCAACAAAGTTTCTGTTGGCCTGCAGGTCTTGCACAGCAGGTCTATGAGCAAATTCTCATAGGATTTGACTACATTGCCTGGGTCTGCACCCAAGTACTTTTTGTCTAACCCACCAGGAAGGTGGAGTCTCAAAGTGGTGAGCAACTCCTCAGGCTTAGCCGAATTGCTTCTTCTGGGCGATGTCATTCCCAGTTCCTCAGCTTCTTCCTGTTTGTCCTCAACTGGGAAGGCCGCTGAAACCTGTAGGTCAAGGTGGTGCTCAGTCTTCAGCAGCAAAACCGGTCTGGGTACCTCTGTATCAATGCTAACGGGCATGTACCACATGTCATGGTCCCTATCAGCCCAGTTCAATAGCAACTCACCTAGGGCCCTAGGGCTTGGAAAGAAATTCCTAAACAAAGGTCTCCTCTACCGTAGTAAAGCTCAACTTCCTTTTCTTCACCCTCTAAGCAGCTACCATTTAGGTACTGCCACCTACAACTAGGACCTCTTTGCTTTGCGGCTTTGGGCAGTAGGAGAGAACTCTGTACAATCTCCTAAACCCTCAAAAAAAACCACCAACAGATCCGGCTGAAGCCGGTCCACTTCTTTGGCAACTTGCTGCTGCCATCCGATGTCCTCTAAAAGGATCATCCGGTGACCAAGGCGCCGTACGTTGCACCTTGCCCCAATCTTTTCCAAAGATCCGGGCTGGAAGTCACTGCTGGCAATCATGTAGATGCTCAGGTCGTTCTCCGCCGCACTGTCCATGCCAATTGCCCTGCACAGCATCTCGTCGTTGCTTGTCGTCTTGTTCTCCCCGCTGGTCATTGCGCCCAACATGCACGCATCCAGCACAGGGAGCCAACAAAGAACGCGCTTCCAGCCCGTGGCGCCACCAGAAAGTTGACCATCTGGTCCGGCACCTCACGGGCATCGTAGTACTTGTAAGCGGTCGCGTCTTTGTTGTCTTCGTCCAAACGCCACGTATCGCCGTATTTGAGCCAGACGTACTTACGATGCCTGAGCAACGCATCTGGGAGCTTATCCCAGGAGTCCTGGGATAAGCTCCCCAGGAGTGTCGTGGCTCACGCCTGTAGCTCACGCGTACGGGCGACGAGTGATGCGACAGCAATCCAAACAGTACACTTGGTGCACTGCACGGGCGCTGTGGCGGAAGTCGGTCCGCTTATGCTGGCATTCCTCATAGGTCTTCTTTGGCTGAACGGCATAGTGGTCTTATGTCCGCAGATCATACACGTCGTCTTGATGATGTGGGGATTTGAGCCTGACCTTTTCAAGGCCCTTTCGGTGCAGCCGTCTTTGCACGGTCCGCCAGGGTCCTTCTTCAGGAAAACTGAGTTTGGACTTTGTCTTTGCCTTCCCAAACACATCAGAGTCACTCTGCTCTCTCAAGGTCCACGTCCCTGCAAGGGATCTCACTCAGGAAGGTCTGGCCCCTTTGCATTCCAAAGTTGAATACCGTATCACACCCTTCTGCGTAGTCAATTGGTTCCCAGGAGCCTGTGGCTGACATGTCCTCCTAGTCCCCAGCCTCAGAGGGAACGACGTCGTTCATGTGTGCGGGACACTCCTCGTCATCGCTACCCTTCAAGACAAGGCGGTCCTCCGTCAGGCCAGATGCTCTGGGCCTATACTTGTAGGCTTGCCTGGACAGCGCCCGAAAGGAACGCCATGCACTCCTGATCATCTTGGTCGAAGTCGTTCGTACCAAGGAAGGCCGTGAACACGTCGAGCTCGACGTCTTTGAGGCTCGCCTCAGCCGCATTCATCGCCATGAGGTGTTCCTCGCTGTCACCCCGTCCTTCAGGGTATGACCAGTCTTCTTCATATTCGTCATCACCATCATTGGCTTGGAAAGCGGTGGGGTCCTCAACCGCGTCATCAACGTGCTCAAACAGATCGTTCCTGGAGGAAAAGTGGACAGCAGCTGTGGAAGAACTCTTTTCCTTTGGTCTTGCCTGTTCCTTTTCCTTTGGAGAAGGAATTGCTGCTGCCTCCACTCTTCTTCTCCAAGATGTGAAGTCTGCTATGCATCTTGATCAGGGCCTTCTCCGCCACATCCGTTTTCGTTTCGCCTCCCATCGAGGTCAAAGCCATCAATTTCTTTTGGCGGTTCAGACCGCTGTTGTCCAACAGCAGGTCTGTCAGGATTGACTCGCTGATGGCGACCGTCTTATCCAGTTGCTGGATTTTCCGCCACCATCTCTTTCTGCAAGCAATGTAGCTGACCATGGGTTCACCAGCTTGATTTCTCAGGACACCGCCGATCTGGGTTCCCAGTCGGTACAGCTCTTTTGTTTCCTGTTCCACCAAAGGAAGCTTCAATCACCTTGGGGATGTTGTCTTGTGAGCCCAGAACCGTGGCTCCAAGATCCTCTGCCAGGATATATGCCTTGTCCCTGAAGGAGTCAAGGAACTTTGAGGCAAGTTGGCCTCTGTCATCGTCCTTGGTCTGGCTCCATCTTGTCATTGCTCGGAACTCCCATTCATGGAAGTCCTTCACGGAACCACCGTAGACCAGGAATCCGAACTTCGTGAGGTCTGTTTCCAGATCCCCACTGGGCTTGTAGCCCAGGGAACTTGCTGCCATGCGAGGGCGGTCGAAGCATGAACGTGGGCTCAAAGGAGACCTGTTCTCTTAACAAGGCTCCGCTACCAGTGCGAAGACCGGTCGTTTTCGCCTAGCACAGAAGACTGTCAAGTCGGGCCCGACGGCGGGAGCAGCGTCGGTTTCAGCATGCACAAACGGTACAACACACGCTGTACGCGCTACATCAAGAGCCCTATTTCACAGAGCATGTTTGACGCCAGAGCTCCATTTCGAGAGAAAATGTGAGGAAGCTCCACGCGAGAGCTCCATTTCAAGGCCACAAAGTGAAGACTCTCCACGTCAGAGCCACCCTGAAAAAAGCTTCGCCCACCCGCAAAAACTTCTAAACAAATCAAATTGTTCAAAAATAGACGCTCCGAAAAGCAATTAATGCTGAGCCCAGTGGTATGAGCACTATTACAGGCAATTGGGGATTTCGTCCTGGAAGCTGAGCTTCGCTTTAAGCTGGAGGCCAAATAGTTGGGACTCGAGAAGATCTCAGACTGGTGCCCGCTCTGTGCTTTGGCGACCATGGCCTCGTACCTGTGAGCTCGCGGAGCTTTAGAAAGAAAAGAAAAAAGCGATGAAAAGCTGAGGAAGTCGCTGCCTGGGCTCCATGGCATGGCCCATAGCGAGCCGGAGCCCCGGAGCGAAGCCGAAGAAGTTGGGAACTTCACGGAGCCAAGGGCTGAGACCAAGAAAAGCTGACTCTCCAGTGAAATGCTTGGTGAAATGCTGAGACACACGCACACACACTGGCACACACGCACGCACACGCACGCACACGCAAGCACACGCACGCACACTGACAGCGTGCCACGGCGGCAAGAAGCTGTCAGGATCTCAACTTGCCACAAGTGACATCACAAGTATGAGTGAAACAAGGACTGTTGGGCGCTCAGTGACGTTTGCTCCAGGGGAGCTCCGTGTTAGATCAAGCCCAACGCAAGCCAATGGACTTAGTGCAAGAATTGGCTGGCAGCAGGACTGAGTACTAATGCAGCATAATGCAGCTCAAGAAGCATCTTCGGGGCCGCAGTGGGCTGGCCGGCTTCTTGCATGACTGACTCCGCTTCCCACATCAATGGCTCTCGTTTGCTGAGGTTCCTGTCACGGGTCAGACTTTGAACGTCTCGTACTGTCGCATGTCTTGAGCCTCTTCCGGGAGCAGGCCAGCATTTTGGCAAACCGTGCCGGCATGTGGGATCTCTTTCTGGGGTCCTGAATTGGAAATGGTTGCAAGCGGCTGGAAATGGCAGAAAGCTCAGTCTCCTGGGAGGACTTTGCTAGTGGAGGGCTTCTGCCTTAGGTTCAGGGCCCAAGTCCTTACACTTTGCCGGCCCATGCATATACAGTCTTCGCGGCTTTGACATTGACAACGACACCGAAGATATCGTCTTGACGGAGAAGATGCGCTTGGACCTGCACTAATCCAGCTTTCTTGCAGAGGCCGTCGATGGATCTGCCAACAACCAAGGACGGCGGCAGCAGCTGCAGCATACGCAAGCATGCAGAAAGGATCGGTCACCTTGCTGTCAAACGGCTTCCAACGAGCTCTCCCTGCTCGAACTCACGGTCCTTAGAGTTTCGTTCATGAGTCTTAGACAGTTCTTAAACTCCCTGAGAGGGCACAAGATATTCCTGGCCGTGTTCGTCCACAAAAGTGCCAGAGCCGTGTGGCTGGTCCTCGAAACCAGCATCCAGCAGAGACTGCAAGGGACTGCATGATACTGCATGCGCTGCAATTAGCACTGCTCCACGCAGCCTCCTCCCAGGAGCCCTCATAATAGCTTAGGATCTCCTAGGCTCTCTCGCCCAGGATCCCAGCACAACAGGGAGCACTGTTCGCCAAGTTCAAGACAGCACTCCGGGCGTACTCAAAGCGACCCCTGCCCTCTCGCAGACCGTTCCTTAATTTGGCTTGTTGAGCTCATCCCACTGCCACTTCGCATCACTCTTTGGTTTGCTCCCCGAGGTGCACGAATTGGCCGCGGTACACGCCGTCAGTACAATGCAGCTCGCCCACGCCGTGCATCTCATCTGCCTCTCCAGTTTGGCATGCACAAAAAGCAAATTTCCAAGCCTGGCCTCCCATTGGCCACGGAAGAGAAAGGTGGAATCGCCATCCGGATCTTAGTCGTCTCCAGGGCTGCTGCTGGCCGGGCTTAAGTTTTCCTTTTGAGTCAAGGGCCTTGGTGCCAAAGAGAGCCCCGACCATCACGGCAGCCGTCGCAGACGTTGCCCTTGTACCTGTGGCCTCGACAAGCTGACCATAGCTAAGCCATTCTGCCAACGTCCTGAGCTTGTGAGCCTGAAGGGTACAGGATGTCCGCGTAGCCCGTTCCAGGTTCGTCATTCTTCCAGGGGCCCGTGTAGATCGGACCTGCAAAAGCGGTTTCGTGTTTGTTCTGTGCCCTTCTGTTCAGACACCAAGGTTGAAAACAGAAAAAGTCGTTTTAAGACCCCTGGCCCTTGTCTTGCAACTCTGAGGCCCCGGCTGCCATTTCGGTTCCTGCATGAGCGGAGTCAATTCTGCACACCACGGCCTGGAGCTGCCGCACACGGCATCTTCTCCTGTAGTGGCCATGTCCATAACGTCGATTCTTCTCAAACTGACCCCTGTACAGGCAACACTGGAAAGGCTTTGCAGCAAGACAGATCCTGCAAATGGCCTGTAGACCGTGCCGTCCGTGAACATCATCTGATCAAGCACTGGGTATCATCTACATGCAATACATTCTTATGACACGTTGGGGTTTCCAGCTGCAAAGCATTGACTTTGCAGGTATTGGCTGTTCCATTCTCAGTTGGTCCATGCAGCCATCTGCTGACATGACGTGGCCATTGTCGTGAACGTGGATTTGGCTTTCCAATTTCCTGAGGTGGCGGAAACCGTGCGGATGCGGACGTGGAACCTACCAAGTTTACTAGATGTTTGTAGCGCACATCGGCACGGGCATATATGCCTGCCGGACTCCTATCCAGAATTGGCGCCTTGGAAGAGTGATGTATTCCAAAATGCAATGGCCACTTGATTTTCTTCCTTTTTCAAAGTCATTTTGTTGCTGGCAGAAAGGACAAGGCACATTTGACAGAGTATTTCACATTCACATTCTGGGCTTTGAACATGAGCTCTTGCGCAAGCATATCTTTTATTGCACATGCTGTCACATGCTGTTGCATGACATGCTCAAGCAAAACTCCCAGCAGTCCACCCACCCACCCAATTCTTGGAGGTGTGCAAGCACGAAGGAAAACACATCAGTTGGACATACAGGGCAGAGACAGAACGCGCATGAAGGTGCACAGATATGCACAGAAAACCAGCACGGAAAAATACGATTCAAAATCAACTAACGGTGCTGCGTGCCTCCCCCTGGCCATGCCGCAGCCCCTGGTGATACTCGCCTGCATAGCTGCAGAAGCCTCGAGCTCCGCTTTTCTTGGCACGGTGCGGAGCGTGCGGAGCGTGCGGCTCTTCTCCTAGCGTTCATTAAAAGCGCCAAGCCGCCCAAGCGCCGCTGCAGGGCTTCCGGGATCCAGGTCCGGCCCGTGCCATGCCGCCTGAGACGCGACGCTTCTCAAGGTGTCTAACTGAAGGAGGAGGTGACATGAGGCGACCGGTGAATCCGGTGACCTCCTTCCCCCTTTGATCTTGGATGTCTTTGTCTTGGATGCCGAAAGCTCTGCGAGCTCCCTTTTTCTTTCACGAAAGCAAAAGTATTGCAGTCATCGAGCACTCCGCCTCGCAGCCAGGAGGGTCCTAATGCCTCACCCAGCACCTGCGTGAAGGGGGCTTGAAAATGCTGCTGACTACATGACTACAATTGACTACAAGGCCTGCAAGGCCACAGAGGCCGAAAATAAGATGGAACCCAAGTAGCCGCAAGATGTTGGACCATCTGCGACATTCAACTCAGGCTGAATGTATGCAATCGTGAAAGAGTTGGCCAGCGACCGGTGTGCTTTGCCTGGTCTTCTGAAAACTGCTTGGCAGCTTGCATGGAGCAAGAGACGCGTCTCTGAACTCGCTGAAGCGCGACTCAACGCGACTCGACCTGCACTCAACTACCTTTTGGCAGCCAGGAGTTGCTTTGTGAGCTCATATGTCCTTAGTCCGGGGAGTGGGGGAACGCTTTTCAGTTTAAAAGCCTTCTCTGAGTGCGCGTCCCCAGCATAATGCTACCTGCAGTCTTGCCATTGCCATGGCATTTCAAGCTTTGGAATGCGCGCCCCAAGTGCCCTGCAGGCTGGAGCCACCCGTGCCACACGAGGAGTGCTGCCCGTGAACAAGGACCCGAGACCTGCACGCACTGCACTGCCCCCCACACATCCCGCCCTGAGCAGCCGCCTTCACTGCGCGCCAAAGAAAGCAGGTCCCGCCAAAGGCTTCTTTGGCTTAGCCCAGCATGAAAAGCCTCGAAAAAAGAACCGGCAAAAGGCAAAAAGCCTTGCCTGGCTGACTCTTTGGGAATGGCCTGCACCTGGCGCCGGGTCTTCACCACATCGAAGGGCGTGGTGACGAAGGCTGCAGCTGCCCCAGCGGTGGAGCTTGCAAGCAGGGCGACCAAGGGGCTCCGGTAGGTGGAGTCCCGCAAGAAGCCTACCGGGTTGAGAGGAGAAAACAGCAATCCAAGCAAAGAAACCCCGCGGCCTCTTCTGAGAAGGGAATCGCGGACGGCTTCCACCCCGAGCCAGTAGAAGGCGCTAAAGGGAACGTCCCGCCAAAGGGTGCTTTCAAGCCCCCGGAATAAGGCTCGCAAGCCTTCATTTCGCAAAATCTCCTGTCAGAAAAGGAACAATTTCACCACAAACGACAGATCATGATAGATCCCTCCAGTTGCAGCATTTGCCTTCAGTGCTGCTCCAAGGCTTAGTCTCCGGTCAGTAATACTCCCAGCCTTCAGCATTTGTGCTTTCACATGAGCGCGTTGATGCCCTTTGAGTCAGCGGCCTGCATGCGGGTCCGGACGACCTCCAAGGGAGCGCAAGCTGTGACCGCCACTGCACGACCGAAGCCGCCAGCCACCAGCGGAGCCAGAACTCCTGAAAAAGGTTCGAATGAGAAGATGAAAAGAAGGCATGTGCTTTGCACGGCATGCTTTGCCATAGCATGCTTTGTCCTGGGCCGTTTCCAGGCTGCTGCTTCAAAATCCAGTCCCGCATCGACTCATAGGTGGCAAAGTACAGGACGTTAGCAGGGACTGCAATGACCATTGTGACTGGAAGCCCTGCATAGAGGCCTGCAACCCCTGTCTCCCGATAGATGCTCCTGAGAGTTCTCAACATACCCGGCTTGCCTGGCTTACCTGGTCCGCTTTCTGTAAAGACGTGCTTCCAGCTCTTGCATCGTCGGTCGAAGGTATGATCTGTAATGCCATTTCCACAAACAAAGAAGTGACACTCCCGAGGACCCAAACCGCGCTCGCAGAACATCCGGCCAGAGCGGGAGGCTGTCGCCTGCATGCGTACCTAGGCCAGCAGCAAGCTAGCAGCAAGCTAGCAGCAAGCATGCAGCAGATCGCAGCTTGCCAGCCTTGCCTTGGCCACATCCAACGGGGTCACGATTAGCCCAACAGCCTGGGTAAATGCAAGCACCCTCGGGCTCTCTCTTGAATTCTCCTGCGCTTGTCACTGAGAAGCGCACGACGGAGCCTGTACACTGCAATGAAAGTGTAACGCCCCAAACCGTCTCTCTAACAGGGAGGACATGGAACAACAAATGCAGGAGCCAATGAGGGATGAATCAATGGTGCCTGCACACGCTGACAGCAGCCGACCAGCTGCACCGACGCCCTGCACTTCCACGCTTGCCATCCAAGACTTCCACAACCTGTGCCGTAAAGAGGCAGTGGCTCTTGCCCTCTTGCCACCCGTCAAGGCAAACAAGAGACCGCCTCCAGGACCCAAAGTCAAGGGGCCGCTCGAGGAATTGTACAGGCCAAAGGCACGACATGAGCTGCGCAGGAGTGCCGCAAAGAAAGGAATCTTTCTTATCCTTGCTCACACGGGTTCAGGTCAATTTTGGTTTGCATAAGCAAATTGTGCGCTGAAGTCTGTGCTTCCCTTAAGGCTGCGCAAAATGTGGCTGTGTGGCAAAATTTTCAGGCAGCGGCCCATGCTGGTCATTGCTTGCTTCGTTTGACCGAGGCCCATGCCGCCCTCCCGGCTGAGAGAATTCACCTTCGTATACCACGCCTTGGCTCGAACTCATCCTTCCGTGGTGGAAAAGGAATCTATTCATGAGGGAGCTCTAACGAACGAGGCGCCATTGGGTAACGTGGCACGGCCGCGCGGTGCACGAAGGCCCAAGTGGAAGCTGCCCTCGAAGCAGAGCCCAGCCTCAAAAGGACAATTTGTCCGGTTCAGTCAGTGAGCCCTTGAGTGGAGCCTTGCCCCGTGCCTCCTCCCAGAGTGTACCGCCGTCTCCGTGAGGCACGGCCTCAGATCACAGATCTCGGAATTTTGACCTTCCAAAACCTGTCCCCATGCTCAGCAGCCGGCACCGGCCAGGCAGGGTCCGCGGTAACGGGCACCGTCCGCATACCAGATCTCGGGAGGAAAGGACTGACACGGATGTGGGCTCTCAGCTTTTGGTCTCCTCGGCATCGGGGTCAGGGCCGCAGTGTTGTAGATCTGCCGCGTCCTGACAGGAAGAGTTGAATATGTGCCAAGTCTGTCGCGCTTGAAAGCTCATTCAGCTTTCTGTCCAGGCCATACATCTCTGCCTTGGACCGAATCAGGATCAAACCGCGCGTCTCGATAGCCTGACCCGGGAACCGGGCTGCCAGATCTTTGGGTGCTTTGCCCGGTCCTTGGTGTGGCCTTAGACGACTTGGTTTCATGGATCCACTTCATTGTCCGGTTCTTGGGCACAGGCCCCACACCGGCTTCATTCCGCAGCCTCAGGCTTTCCATTTAATCAATGAGCTGCAATCGCTGACTCGCTGAGTTGAAGTTGAAAGCTTAGAACCTGTGCTGAGACTCCGGCACTAGGAAATGCTCCTGGAGCGCCACGCTATCTGTCTCGTCCACAAGAATCAAGCTCCGGGGATCATGCATCTCGCCTGGCATGATGCGTGACCCAAATTCTCCCAGCAATCCCACGCAATCTTGGGGAGTTCACTGGAACCGCCGGAGAAAAGTCCCTCGTAGCGAGTGATGGCCTTCGTGCTGCTTCTCTTGCGCAAGATGCCCCCGATGCTGTGAACTCAGGACTCCACCCACGGGCGATGTTTCTGCACCCATTCCAGGCTTCCGTCCTGGTTACAACGGAACCGAAGCCTGCTTCTGCGAGCTCTGCCGCAGCTCTGCAGACAAGAGACAGTCCTCCTCCACAACCCAGAGTATCCCGTGACCTGAGAACTCCTGATGACAGACGCAAGAAAAAGGGAAGTCTTTCAACTCAACCAGGAGCCACTTTGCTCTCCTCGTTTCTGAAGTGGCCTTGGTAGGCCCTTGAGCCGGACGGCTCCTGGAAAAAGCGGTAGAAGCCTTCGCCTAAGCTTGGCTGGAGGAATTTGAATCTGAGTTCACGATCCTTTTCCTAGGGAGCCCGGCCGTGCTTCATCCCCTGCGCCCATTGACCCCTGTAGATGACCTGTCCCTCAGGATCCAGAAGTTGCCCTGTGCCATGGTAGGTATGGTCCTTCCAGGCGCCTATATAGCGCGTGCCATCGGGCCACAGTTGGTCTCCATCACCATGACGGTAAACGATCCCGGGCAACCGCGGATGGTCCGACACATCGCCGATATAGTGGAGAATATGAAGTGGGGGTGTGAACATCCCATACTCCTCAATCACCTGGGTGTATGCAGGAGTGTGAAATTCTCCTTGTCAGCCAAGATTTTTGCAAGTTGGCCATTTTACTGGCATGAATCCCTGTCCGGAGCGTAAAATTCAAAGCTTTCGCAGAAAGCCGAGCAACCTTGGCCCAGACCTCACCATCTGCCTTGCTCACGCGGAACACGAGGGGAAGTGCTGCCGGCGCTTCGAGGCCGGGTCCGGGTCCCGAAACCGAAAGGACTCTTGGGCTCCTAAAGCTGGAACTCAGTGGAATCGGTTCTGGCGTGATGGTCAGCGGATGTGGGCTCCCCTCATTTCGAGGAGAAGGCGTCGCATTGCTGGATGTCGGTGTGCTTGACAGGCCCTGGAGCGTAAGCAAGCACTCATCATCTTCATGCCCACGTAGGCCGCGAGAAACCTCAATTCGATCAAGAAAGACAAAGGGCACGCAATATTCAAGAGCATCACCATGGTCACATGCCACGGTCTCAGACCAGCCAGATCCCTCATCTCCCTCATCCTTGCGCAAGACATAGGTGACCTGCCGTGAATTGAGTCGCAGCAAGCAAGGCCTCCAAAAGTTCACCTCGTTCACCTCACTGCTGGAGGGAGAAGAGAAGCTTGAGCAAGAGGAGGAGTTAGAGGAGAGGAAGAGGCTGGCTGCATGGGCTCCGAGAGGATCTGGTCGCCAAGCTCTGCGCCCCGGCTTCAGATCTGTGGAAGCGATCACATAGTGCAAGACCCGACCCTCTCTAAAGCACCGCGACTCACTGAAGCGCGCCTTTCCCAATCCTTCATCAGAAAAGATGCCTGGCACCAGCAGCTTATCGACCTCCTCCTTGAAAGGGCCACGGTTTGGGTTCCGTGCAAAGAAAATCAAATCCAGGACACCATGCTGCACCAGGCTCCCTGCTGCAAGCTCTTCATCAAGCCAAGAGAGAACCTGCGACTGCCAAGTGGCCACCAGCTTGGTGCTTTCATATGTTTCGTTGCGCCAGTGTTTCCATTGCCGTGCTTCCCGAGCATCAAGGTAATTTGTTGGTGGTGGTTGGCTGGTAGATGCAGGCTTACGGGAGTCCAGGCCCCAGGGCAAGAACAGAGAGAGGAAGGAATCATGCCGAGAGCAGGACCAAGGTCGGCCCAGATGATTCACGACTTGAACACTGGCAACGAGTTGAGGCAGTTCCTCTGTGCCGACCATCTGGGCTCGTGTGACGGCTACAGGAATCACATTTTGCACATCTTCCTTGAAGAAGCGGCCAGCAAACCGCACAGCAGGCACGCGTGGCACAGCAGGCCCTGAGTCCGCAGATTGGTCTCTGGGATTTCGCACGTCGGTGAGCCCGGCAGGGCAGGGCTCGAAAAGCACCAGCAACTTCCGGAGCCCTGCAATCCTCCGCTGATTGGTGTTGGGGGCTTCGTGCTTCGAGCCACAGCTCGTCTCATTGCTTTGCGTTGCCTTCAGCTGCAGGCCAACCAGCCGGCTCACCAGCAGAAGAGGAAGGGCTTCCCCTTTAGCCACTTTGTCGATGCCTTGCATGATGCCAAAGTCTGGGTAAGGAAGGTCTCCGTCACTTCGTGTGGTCAACACACTCAGGCCCGGTTTCTGCTTCCACTCCCGGCTAGAAAGGCCAAACCTCGAGCTTGCTCTCGAAGAGAGGTGCTGTGCGAAGAGACGACCCACAGCCAAGCCATGTCTCAGAAGAGTGAAAAGAAGCAGACAAAGGCAGAGGCTGTCCGTCAGGCGGAAGAGGAGGCCAAGGCCTAAGACGAGCTGTAAAAATGGAAGGTTCTCAGGTAGACTCGGAAGGCAAAACACGGGCTCCCTTCGGCCAGAGGCGACTTCATGGCCGTAGGAGGCTGGCAAGAAAGGGGTCCATCCGCTGCAGCGAAGCCGCAGAAGGCATCCCAACAGCGGCCACATCAGCAAGACCAGCAGGCCAGCGGGGCCAGCGGAGCCTTCTGCGAAGCCCGCTTTCAGCAAGCTGATGGCAAGTACTGCAAGCACTCGGTCCACGCAGTCAAAGTAGAGGGCCCAGCTGGGAAGATGTACAGCGTTGCTGCTCGTGCTCTGTGCGGCGGGACAGTGTCGGCACTTTTCGCAAAATCCAAAGCTCCAGAAGAGGGGAAGCCAGCGCTCTGCCACGGGCGAGGCCACGGTCTCCGCCTGGACGATAAATCCAAAGCTGGGCAACCAGCGCGCCATGAGCTCCAGGTGCTTCAGTGGCAGCTGCGCTGTCACCAGGCTCTCGCGCACCTAAGTCTCAACACTGCTAGTTTCTCTTGTCGTGTTCCCCTCTAGAAAAGCTATATAGTCTAGATCTGCACAAGAAGTCCATTTCAGTTAGCACCTGCAGGCGTCGAACGGAGTGTTGAACCCGCAGTGGTGGAGGACGGCGAGGCGACTTGGAAAGGAAAATGGGTTTGAGATGGTTTGGGTTTGCATGTCTTTCTTTGTACGCTCACAGCCTCGAGAATTCTCAATTTGAGCATCTGAGCATCTGAGCACCGAGCCAGACTTTCACTCACACGGATCGGTGGTCGTTTCGCGAGCTCTGGCTGCCTTCCATCTCACTGCGAAACGCACATCCGAATCCTTCAGCAGCATGAGCCGCTTGAGTGCACTTGAGTGGCTGGCGCTCCCGGATTTGGATTCTCCCCTGGGCTGCGTACCTCCCACTTGGAGCATTTAAGGAATTGCTCTATAAAAGTTCTTTTGCTCACGTGGAAACGGAGGACTCCGAACGTCGCATCCAAGAAATCTGGCACCAGCTCCTCCAAAAACGGCATGCGATTGCGACACATGTTCTGTAGCAGCCCTCTTCCTCGTCGTAGAAGGGCATGTCGTCTGAATCCATAAGGTCCTCGTGGAGAAACCTTACAGGAAGACTTTTCAACAGCAGCGCCCTTTCTGCTGGCAGAGGCAATAGCAACTTTTGCCGGCAGATCCAGTAGACAAACAGACCGCTGCTTTGCAACTTCTGCTGCTGCTGCAAGGCATTTTTTGTTTTCAACGCCGGGCGGTAAAGCGGGAAACGGAGATAGGGCGGAGCTTTGAGTTTCCTGCCACTGCAATTGCTCAAGGTTCCATACATAAACTCCGGAGTGTTCTTGGGAAGCTGCATACACATATGAGATGCGGAGGTGATAGGTTAGAGTTTCAAATTTCGCCCCACCACGTAGGCACGAGTGAGCCTGACTTCGTCAATAATTCAACTCAACCTGTTTGCCAGTGCGCACAGCTGTGCGCCAGGTCGCCAGGCACTGGAGGAGGGTCCAGCTAGCGGAATGGGTGCCAAGGGTCCTGGGGCGTTTGAGTCTGGGCTTTCGGCCTGAAAAGGGACTGGTTGCAGGCAGTGTTGCAAGGCCATGTCTCGACTCAACAGATGTTGAGCACCACACTCTAGCACTGACAGAGGAAGCATCCATGTAGTCGAGCGGACTTTCCAAAAGCTACATTAGTGCTCCGCGCTGGAAGGTTGCAGAATGAAGGAGCCGTGGGATCAAACAGGCACGCACTGCACCCCCTGCTTTCACAGCTTGCACTGCCGATGCCGAGAAGGGCAAGTCGAGAAAGGCAGTCCAAGAAAGGCACTGGAAAAGGCTCCGTCCAGAAAGGCAAGAACAAGAGTAACCACAAAGGGCGCATGCAAGAAGTGAGTGCGGCTCGCTTGAGTGATGGAAGGCTTTAGTATTCATTCATGTCGGTCATGAGTGCTTAACATATCGGTGCTTTTTTAAGCCACAGATACCAATCTTTGTACTAGGGCACCTTGCGGACCCCCTTGTGCTGACAGACACCATTTGACAACAAAATCCGCCGACCCCAGGCCATTTCCGTTTTGTTTGCCCTCTAACATGCAACTCCCCAATCTGCCACCCGCATTCCCCCTACCCTCCTGTCGAGCCAAGCCACTGGTTTTGTCGGTTTTCAAGGAAGGTTTGGCAGGGTTGTCCTACCTCGCCGCCCCAACCCCCACCCTGCTCCGACCCCTTCCCTACCCCTTCATCCCCCCCCACCGCCCCCCCCAACGCTCCACCCCCTCCACTGATTTTTAAGGGAAAACCCTTCCCCTACCCCTTCAACCCCCACCGCTCCCCCATGTATCCAGGCCCGGGGATCTCGGCAGAGATGTAATAATAGGATAGTGCTAGTAAGAGTTGTATCATACTTGTTTGTCTGCTCTAGGCACGTGTGTCATATGCCTTGAACCATTGACATTACGGAAGTACATAACCATGCATACACAAGTATACAAGGTACAGGACATA